GCAAGCGTCGTTAATTTCCTTCGGTGTGAGTGGCCCCTCCAGTCGATCTGTACTATTTTGGCGAGCCAGGCCATTGTGCCGTACACGGTTGATCCAGCACAAAATGCGCCGAATGTGAGTCAGATGCGAGAAACGATTGAGCAGGAACGTCAGTATTTCGTGGCTACCTCTTGGCGGCAGCTCAGCGCTAGCAAACAAACTTGTAATCGTTGTCCGCTTCTCTAGTAGCTCTTCCTCCTCGATGTCACGAACTAATGATACTGGCCAATTTTCTTCTGTTTCAGAGAGCCAACTTGGGCCCCTCCACCACAGCGGATGTGTTAGTAGTTCCAAAGGCGTGATACCTCGCGAGGCGCAGTCGGCAGGGTTGTCTCTTGACGACACATGGAACCAACGATTCCTGGGAAGATGTTGCAAAATCTTGGAAGTTCGATTAGCCACGAACGTTTTCCACTTCCTTGGCAGTGAAGATAGCCAATGGAGCACGATTTCTGAATCACTCCACGCGAACAATTCCACCTCCAAGTGCGAGGATGATTCCATGACCTTAATCATCAAGTCGACGAGTAGTTCCGCAGCCAGCAGCTCCAAGCGTGGCAGTGAAACTTGAAGAATAGGAGCCACCCTGGTCTTGGCCACTACCAGATTCGTTGCGATTCTTCCGTCTTGGTCGATAGTGCGTGCGTAGACGACAGCGGCGTATGCAGCTTCAGAGGCGTCCGCGAACCCATGGAGTTGCAGTTTGCCTTCAAAGTTGGGAATCCATCTCTTAATCTGAATCCTCTCGATATGGTGCAATGTTTCTTTCAACGCAATCCACTCTTCCAAAATGAATGCTGGAAGTGGATCATCCCAGCCCAAGTCGTAGAGCCACAGGTGTTGGAATAATATTTTCATTCGGATGACCACCGGCGCGATCCAACCGAATGGATCGAAGAATTTTGATGAATCGGACAGCAGCTGACGCTTGGTATTTGCGCCATAGATGTCAAACGTGAGCTTGAAACTAAATATGTCCTCTTGAGGCGTCCATCTGATTCCCAAAGCCTTGACACAATCATTTTCTTGGGGTAGCTTTAGCGGAATGGGCTCGCCTTGAATTGCACCGCACTCCAACAATTGGGGCTCATTTGAGCTCCACTTTCGTAGGACAAAGCCAGCGCTCTCCAGAACGTGGGTGATTTCATTACGGAGGAGATTGGCGTCGTCGATGGAATCTGCACCCGAAAGCAGATCATCCACATAGAAGTTTAGGGGAATCCGCTCAGCTACCAGCGGATGTTCTTCCTTGTTGTCTTCAGCGACCCGTCGCAAAGCCGCCATAGCTTGATACGCTGCGCTCGCCGTACCGTAGGTAACGGTCAGCAAACGATAATGTTCCAGTGGCTGGTCCGGACTGTTTCGCCACACTATTCGTAGGTAATCGGCATCTTCTCTGGTAATGAGAATTTGCCGGTACATTTTCACGATGTCGGCGATAAAGGCGATCTTGTACGAGCGCCAGCGAAGGAATACGTTAAAGAGCGACTCGTTCACATTCGGTCCAACTAGCAAGCAGTCATTAAGTGACACCCCGGAACCACTCTTGCTCGAGGCGTCGAATACGACGCGCAACTTTGTCGTCGTACTATCCACCTTCCACACGGCGTGATGGGGAAGATAGAATGATTTCTCTGGTGCAACCGAAATCTCGCTAGGCGGTACCTTCTCCATATGACCGAGAGTCAAATACTCAGTCATAAACTGCTGGTAATGATGCTGTAGTTCTGGATCGATGCTGACTTTCCGCTCCATGGCCTTAAACCGCCGGATGGCAGCAGTAGCCGATTCGCCCAGTTCTGGCTTTGTACGGTCGAAGGGTAAGCGAACTACGTATCGCCCTGATTCATTCCGGGATAGGGTGGAGTGGAAATGTTCGGCAGCCCGCAACTCGTCCGGCGTGAGCTGTTTAGATTTAGGCACCTCCTCTACCTCCCAGAATTTCCGGAGCGTTTGGTCCAGGTTCAATGATGTCGTTAAGCTGAGCACCGCACGACCTTCGGCGGCATACGATGTATTGAAGTGGCCACCAACCAGGTAGCCGAAGACGGAGTTTTGCGCTATGGGTACACCCCGACCGTCGTACAGCTTTCCCGGTTCTAGAATGGAAAAAAGAGCTTCTATTCCCAACAAAAGATCGATCTTACCGCACTTGTTATAGCTTGGATCTGCGAGAGGTGCCTCGGCTAAGGCACCAGCATCGACTTCAAACGGTTGACTCGGTTGGTCCGGAACCAATTTTTTTAGTATTAAGGCTTCCACCACGATGACGACACGGTCGTCGAATCGCGATGATATCTGCAGCGTGACTGCTCCTGTTGTCTTGCTGGGATTCCCATCAGTGATTCCGTTAACGAGAATGTTAGCGTTGCGCCTTTCCAGGCCAAGACGTTCGAATGCTTGATTGCTGATCAGCGAGTTCATACAGGCAGAGTCCATCATTGCCCGTACTTCATGGAAAACGTTGTTTTTTCCCAGCACCTTGATGACAGCCGTAGGCAGCAAACTAAGGAAGTTCACTGAACAGCTGGTTTTGAGATCCGCGACATACGATGTCACAGAATTCGCTTGCTTCGGTACTTCTGATGTTGTTGTTGGCTGCTTCTTTACAGTTGCTTCATCTTCACGGAGTTGGCTGGAATCAGGAACAGAGCTGTCGTCAATTGAGCAGAGCAGCGAATGATGCTTTTGCTTGCATTGTTTGCATACAACTGTCGACGTACAGTTCTTCACAATGTGGGTCGTTTTGAGGCAATTAAAACAGAGCTTGGCTCGTTGGGTGAACTCCCGTCGTTCACTCACTGGCATTTCTTTGAAGCTGGCACACTGGTATATTGTGTGAGCTTCTGAACACTTAGAACACGGTTGCTGGGTGCTTGCGTGAAAACTTTGAATGGTCTTACTTGACGATGTATTCTTCGTGTTTTGGTCCGTTCTCCGATCTTGTTCCTTCTTCGTGGTCGTATCAGTTCCCTTCTTGGAAAAGGACGCGCAAGTTTCCAAGGCATCGCATCTTCGCTCGAGGAATGTGACAAACTCTTGGAAGCTAGGATTGTCCAAATCGACTAGCTTCTGAGCCCACAACGAACGGGTTTCACGGTCGAGTTTTTCCAATAACAGATGAATTAACCAGGGGTCACGAGATTCGTACGATTCACCGAGAGCCTTGAGCTGCCGCACAACTTCATCCGAGGTTGACACAAGTTTGCGGAGCCCAACGAGACTAGGCGCAGCAACCGGCGGCTGGTCCACAAATTCTTTGACAAGTGCCGCGACGGTATACTTCTTCTTATCGTAGAACTCGTTTAGCTTATCCCACACTTCCACATAGTTGGCGTCGGTGATAGTGAACGCACTAACCAACTGCTTCGCCTCTCCATCTAAGTGGGACAGCAGGTACTGCAGCTTCACGGAATCTTTGAGATTTTTCGAGTGAATGCAGCTTACAAACAGGTCCTTGAAGGAAGTCCAGAGTTTCCGCTCGCCCTTGAATACCGGAAGAGTTATTGTTGGCAAGCGCACCTCAATCGGAAGTTGACCCCCGGAAGCCTGAGCATCAGCAAACGGACGGGAAAGATTCATGGAACCTACTTGGCCAGCCAACTGTGACACGGTGTTCGAAGCTGCAGTTTGTGACGTCATCAGTAGCCGCTGTGAATCCAACAGCAACTTGATTACCTCTTTCAGATCATCCATTGGTTCGGCAACTGTACTTTCGCTGCTTTCGTGGGGGTTATGTTCGTCGAGTAGCTTGACGTAGCGCCCTTTTAATTGATAGTACATTTCTTCGAACTCAAACCGGTGATTGAAGACCGAGTTGATTTCTTCGAGCGCTTCAGACTGCTCTTCGATTTCACATTGCACTTTGTCAAATTGCTCACAAAGTTCAGTGAGTCTGTTCAATCGCTCCTGAATCTCGCCGAAAGGAGGATTTCTTCTTTCGACCGCACTGGCGTTATTCTGCTCCCATTTCATGCGCTGAAAAAACACATCGCGACGTTTCCGAATCGCTTCCATAGCGGTTTCGTAAATATCGGCTCGAAGGTCCAATGTTTTCGGGAGAGAGCAGGCGGAACGCAATAAAACGCGGCGAACTAATTGAAACGAAAATGGACTGTATTTTACTTATATTTTACATGAAAGAAACGTGTTCTCGACCGCTCGGTCGGACGAATGAATAACTGATGATTTCCGGAAGCGGTATTTTTCTTCTATGTTGGGAGCGCGGGACGACGAGTTTGACAGCTGGTTTTGCGAGGGGTAGGACCACGCACGAACATCTAAGTTGGGCGCAGGGTTGGACTGCACGCGAACACCACTCCTTCCAGGTTGTCAACTCACCATTTTGGTTGCCAGTATGCAATTTATGAAATACTTCGTTACAAACGCAACGCAACTCTTTCTTTTGTTTTTAAAAATGAATGCTTCTAACTTTTTTTTTCCAAATATAACGCAGTTTGTTCAGATCGATTCATTAATCTATGTTTGAAAATGATAAAGAATATTGAAAAGAAAACGTTATTACCCCAATTTTTGAATAAATTATGTTGGTAATGTGGGCATTCAAGAAATAATAATAAATTAATATAAATCTTCAAAAACTTCAGCTCTGCTCAATATATCCCCTTAGAAAAAAAATGCATTGATGTTCCTAAAACATTTTCATCTCAGAACAGAAATTTACAAAGAAATTCATGTAATCTAGCAATTCAAACGGTAATTAAAACTGGTTAAATTCTGATATTTACGTTTATGAATAAAACACCAATTTTATTTCAATAGCATTTTTAAAACAAGATTTCCACATGAAAATAATAATTATTAAATAAAAAAATATTGTTTTCAAAAATATGGTCTTTAAAATGAAATTGGTGTTTGTTCAATTATTTCAGAGTACTCCAAATTTTGTATTTCAACTGGACCTGGCATCGCTGATTGTATCTATTGAATGTCTATTTCAGCTAACCTGTCCTAAGCTCACAAAAGAGCCCGATGATTCTCAGTTCGGTGCAGAGGAAATCTCACTGCTTCATGGTGAAAAGGAAGCTCAAACTGACTCCACGATTGTTCGACAAGGTGAGAATATTATATTTATCCTGAAACACAGGAGTGACCCACAGCAGGCGGCGAACAATCCATCGAGTATCTTTCGAGCACCCTGTACCAAATGTTCCCACTGTGGAATAAAAGAGTCTAGTGCTGTCGCCCTGGCTTGTCATATTCTGGTCAACCATGAGCCAGTCGCATGTGGTATATGTGGAATTACTTTGCCCACTCTTTCCCAGGCTCAGCAACACAAGGTTAGTAAACTGAGCTTTGAATGTTGTTAAATTTCTCTATACTTTAATGAACTATGTATTTATCGTTCAATACAGAAAACGAAGCACAATCTCTCGAAGCTCAAATGTCCACATTGTTCGATACGGTTTTCCGGGAGAGAGCGCTTACAATTACATGTATCCAAATGTGAGAAAAAGAAAGTTCCCTGCGAGTTTTGTGGTAAAATGTTTCAAGATGTAACTGCTGTCAAAAACCATTGGAGCTACGTTTGCCGTGCCTATAAAAAGAGCCAGGAGCAAGACCTGAAGAATTCCGGAGCACGGCCTCTGGTTGAAAGCGGCTTATCCCATACAAAATGTTACTACTGCAACCAAGAGTTTTCCAATCCAGGGCAGTTAAATCATCATTTGCAAATTCGTCATGAGCTGACCAAATGTGACATCTGCGAAATAACTATTCTTGGTATATCATCAACTAAAAATCATGAGGTTTGTTGCAGTCGTTTTTCTCAGCTGCTGTCAGGCTTAATTGCAGTTCAAATTGTTTCTTAGATGATGAATTCTCAGTCAATTGTAGGTTCTTTGCCTACGTTTAAGTCTTTTCTGGAATGTTATATTTGGTGACAATGTAAGTTTTTACACCGCAAAAGAAGATGTAGTTAACTTCTTGTTCTGCAAAGCCTGATTGCTACTGCATCTTTAACATATTTTTATTCAGCCTTTATTATTCAATGCAGATAAAATGCCACATGGAACCAAAATACAAGTGCCCAACTTGTGGGAAAAAATTTCACCGTGCAAAATCATATAATTCACATCGTTTTGTGTGTGAGCATAAGATGTATTCGTGCAAGTTATGTGGACGAACGTTCAAACAACCCCACTCAATCAAATTTCATAATAAACGATACCATCCTAATGAGACCGGTTTGAAAAATCTACAGATCGTCCAAGATCAAAACCAAGTCCGATACAATGATCTGCAAATGGCACGTGATACCCAAGGAGGACGATCAACAGTTAATCCATCCGCCAAAGTTGCAAGTGGGTAAATTTCGACTTCAGATAGATACACGAGTAAATACAAAAGAATTGGTTCTCTTGTAGATTCTGGATCGAATGAGTATTCTTCAGCTAACTTGACCAACGATGATTGTATGGAAAGCAAAGTGATCGACGAGGAATCCCGAATGGTTTCAGAGAAAACCTCGCAGCCACTTGTTGAAAATCCATCAAACCAGCCATATTCGTGCAACGTCTGTGGCATCACTATGTCTAGCTATTACAAAATCAGTTATCATATGGTACGTTGGTAAAACTTGCATTTTTGGTGCCTTCTTCTTTGCAATACTATTTTTTTATTTCATTCCCGTTCATTTCAGCTGATAAAACACACGGAAGAAAAGTTCCAATGCCCTCATTGTCCGAGGAAATTTCACCATAGAAATAGGCTAGAAAAACATGCGCCAACTTGTACAAGTTTAAAACATTCATGTGAATTGTGTGGTGAAAAGTTTAGCCTCCCAAGCAGAGTAGAGATGCACAAGAAAAAAGTTCATCAAGGCGACAGACCCTTGAGAAACGCGAATATCAAAGGTGCAAATTACACTGAAGAGCAAAAGCAACGCAGTGTTGAGAAGATGGATGCCACTCATGAGATGGCTGTTTGCATAATTTGCAGAAGCACGTTCGCCAGTACTGATGAGCTAATGAAACATAAGGTTTGTTTTTGTGACAGGTGTCATACTAGGCATTTCTTAAGGGCCAACCACTTAAGATCCGTTTGCGTAGCGTTGACGTTAGACAGTTAGATAATTGGTTTAGCTGTCACCTTGCCGCAACGCGTCAAATCCGGATCTAATGTGGGTGACCTTTCACGCTTTCACTCTTATACTCTTGAGAATCATCAACATATGTGTGTAGCTGCTCAGCTTTACCAACCGGTGGAAACTAACGAACTTTAAATTGGCTCACTACTTGACTAGCCTATTGGTCCCAAGCAAATCGTTTAGCGTACCCTATTCCACAGTCAAAATTCTAGTACTACACTATGTTTGTTTTGATTCGCCTTGAAAGTTTGACAGATAAAATGAGGGGTTCGTGGATTTTTCTATTTTTCCAAGGGTGCATCGATTAGCTTGGGACCGAAGATAGTACCAGAGCTGAGCCAAAAAATTGAGCACGTTTCTTCGGGACCTTCTGGTCTTAGAGTTACCTCTATGTTACTACCCTGCCCGTTGTTTTATTTAGTTAGCGACCATCAAAAAATGATGTACCAGATATTTGAATTTTACTCATTGATCTTATGGAGGATGATACCTTAGAGGTCCCGAATAAACGTGCTCAACTTTTTGGCTCAGCTCTGGTACTATCTTCGGTCCCAAACTAGTCGATGCACCCCTTGAAACATAGAAAAATCCACGAACCCCTCATTTTATCTGTCAAACTTTCAAGGCGAATCAAAACAAACATAGTGTAGTACTAGAATTTCGACTAGAATGGTGTAAGCTAAACGATTTGCTTGGGACCAATAGGCTAGTCAAGTAGTGAGCCAATTTAAAATCGTTAGTTTCGACCGGTAGATGATACGCAGCATTTGCTGTCGGCTATTAAATGTATAAGCTCGAAATTAACTGTATTGTATGCATTCAATGTCTATTTCAGCTAACCTGTCCTAAGCACGGAAAAAAGCACGATGACTCTCAGTTCGGTGCAGAGGTAATATCACAGCTCCATGTTGGAAAGGAAGCTCAAACTGATCTTGAACTGGACATTAAAGTAGAGGAAACAATGCTGCAGGAGCAGGAATATCAAGTTCCAACTGAAGACCCAGGGAGACCATCCGCCACAACTTTGGTAAGTGCTCGTCAGGTTTGTATAGTTTGTCCATTAAATAATACTGATCCCAATATTTGAACTTGTTTGGTTTTAATCTGAAACTAGATTGAAACTTGAATGATATTATTTATAAATTTAAATGTAGAGGACCTTGATCATCTAAAGGTTCTGTTTCCATTAACAAAATGGAAACAGAACCTTTAGATCAGTTATCCCACAGCTGTCTATAGCAGCAGTCGAATTTTTATTTCGGTGTGAACCACGCGATAGCCTGTTTTCGAGACTCGCTATTATATAGTTGCTCTTTGTTCGTTGCTATGTCTGAAGTAAAAAAACACCATCAAGTTTAGCTTCGACCATTATGATGCTAAACCAAACATCGGAAAGATTGTAAATTTCGCCAAAGCACTTGACGCGGATCCGGCTGAAATGGAAGCTGTTTATCACATTGGTGAGGAAAGGGGAGTCTTCATAAAGTTCAAATCAGAGGAAGCGATGCTCCATGCTCTGACATACAATTCGGAGGATTTATTCTTCCATTGTGTACCGGACAACGAGCTGGATAAAGTGCTGGGGAAATATGAAAAAATTAAACGCATCATCCAGGAGAAATTTCCAACTGATCTGTGCTTTGAGGTATATACAGGGATACGCGGTATATATATGGATGTGAAGAAGGAAATCCCCACGTCATTATATTTCTTCAATCGCAAAGGAAATATATTTTATGATGGCAACAAAGATAAATGTTTTCTGTGCAAGGCGGCCGGACACCGGAAGCTTTCCTGTCCCAAGCGGAAGGCTCGGAAGGAACCGGAGAAGCAAGCAACTAAAGGAAAAAGGAAAGCAAAGTGAAAGAAAACAAAACAGCAGCAGTACGTATGCTAGTGTATTTGTGGAAGGTGCGTCGTTTGTCATTTGCGACCAGGAAACGGACTCGGGGTTGGAGATGTTGAATGAAAATAACGAAATTGACGTGACGACCCCGACGACCGACGAGAGTAGCGGAGAGCATGCAACGGGAAACGACGTTCAGAAGCAGCAGCAGCGATCACGATTCGGGTTCAATGAAAATGAGGAACAAATTCGGGAAAGAAACAAGTTGCGTGCACGGGAGAAGATCGCTTTGTCGCCGCTTCGATCGCCACCCAGGAAAATCCTATAATAATATGCATTTCCTAGAGAAAGACGTGTGTTCAGTAGGAAGTCTGGTTTAATACTACATAAAGTTTTCAGTTATTGATAACGGGTAAACAAGTTCTTAACTACAGAAATCAACTGCTCCTTCGATCCAACTCTTCACCCCCTCTCAGTTGATGGTCTCCAATCCTATCTTCGTTCTCAAAAGTGTTAAAGCCGGGGCTGGATGTGACTTTGTAAGAATGTCCGCTTCTTGCTTCTGGGTTGGTACATATACAAGTTTCACCTTTCCGTCTGCAACCGCTTCTCGAATAAAATGAAACTTGACATCTATATGATTGACACGTTTCGTCTCCTCCTTCTCTGCCATAGCTATAGCGCCTTGGTTGTCCTCGTAGATTGGTACAGGATACAAGTTTGATTCACACAAATCGGATAGCAGTCCAGTAAGCCAAATCGTTTCGCTAACAGATGAGCTCAATGCGATGTACTCAGCTTCTGTGGATGACATTGCTACCGTGCGCTGCTTCTTGGACGACCACACGGCCAGAAACACACTTACGATCCTCCTCGTTGCTTGCATAGTCAGCATCAACAAACACAGCGACCGGTCGTTCATGCGGGTTCCTCTTAAAGATCAGCCTTAGGTCTTTTGTCGCTTGAAGATAACGCAGTACTCGTTTGGATGCTTCCAGTGTTCCTCTCCTGCAGCATCTTGGAATCTTGCCAGATAGCCCACAACGTAGCACAGGTCTGGCTTTAAGCCCAGCATCAGGAACATAAGACTGCCAACCAGTTCTCGATACGGATAGTTGCATCCTTCAGTGGTCTTTCGAAGCTGCAACTTAGTTTCAGCATAGAGGTAACTCTAAGACCAGAAGGTCCAGAAGGAACGTGCTCAACTTGTTGGCTCATCTCTGGTACTATCTTCGGTCCCAAGCTAATCGATGCACCCCTCGAAACATAGGAAAATCTACGAACCCCTCATTTTATCTGTCAAACTTTCATAGCGAATCAAAACAAACATAGTGTAGAACTACACAGAAATTCAAAACAACCCAAAATTAAGTTCTTTTCACTCATCTCCCATGTTCCGTACGATAAGCCAAATTTGGGTAAACCGGCTCAAAGTAGTTTGCATTTAAGGACGGCAAAAAAAATTACCCATCGCTAAGTTATTTTCCATTTTTTCTACCCAAAATTAAGTTCAATTAACTCAAATTTGGGTATATCGCATATTACTCAATTTTGGCTTCTCGTACGGAACTAGACGGTTGAGTCGAATCTTTCGTTCTATTCTTGACAACAATAGCGAGAGGAAATGAAACGGGCAAAGGTCAAATAACTCAAATTTGAGTTTAAAAAACCCAAGCAGTGGGTAGTTTTGTTTTTCTGTGTAGAATTTCAACTAGAATGGGGTACGCTTATAGATGTACTTGGGACCAATAGGCTAGTCAAGTAGTGAGCCAATTTCAAATCGTTTGTTTCCACCGGTTGGTTTCAGCGGGTATGTGGGCAGGTTTACAGCCATCCATTCCGAAACGTATTAGTATTTTTTGGATTAGTGCTTCTTGAGACAAATACATAGTACCTTCCTCGTCATGTTCTATCTTGATGCCCAAAAAGTGATGTAGTTCGTTCAAATCCGTCACTTCAAATTCTCGTTTCAATCGATCTTTAATCTCCTCAATAATGCGTAGATCGCCCGCAACCACGAGCAAATCGTCCACATAGATAACGATGTAAGCAATTTGATTTCCTTGTCCACGCACATATACGCAGTAGTCGTATCGGGAACGACGAAACCATGCTCACCAGAACTTCATTAAAGCGACCGTTCCAACAGCGAGGTGATTGCTTGAGACCGTATAGCGATATCTTCAACAAGCATGCTTCATTCGGTTGACTGCTTACCCCCTCTGGAACACGCATGTACACTTTTTCCTGGAGAACAGCGTTTAGGAACGCCGTTGTTACGTCCATTTGATGGATCTTCAGGTTTCGGTTCGTCGCAATCGCCAGAATCGTCCGTATAGTTGAAAGCTTTGCCACTGGAGCAAACGTCTCTTCATAGTCCACGTGCTTCCGCTGCATGTACCCTTTGGCAACCAGGCGGGCCTTGTAGCGCACAAAATTACCGTCAGCATCGGTCTTTTTTACTCGGCATCAGGGCACCTCACCATCGTCCAGGTTTGGTTTTTCTTCAAAGACCTTAGCTCGTCAGCTATTGCTTGCCTCCGTTCCGTCTCGTGCGGATGACCGTCAACCTCATCTTAACATGTCGGAACCTATTGGGATTCATCAGCAGCAGAAAGGGCTCTATAGGGGGCAATACAATCAGCTAACCAACCTGGGGTCCTGCGCTCCCGACCACTAGATCTCGGAACACACTCCTCACAGTTGTTCCCATTCTTCGAGTGTGGTGGGAGCGCCGATGCGTCTTCTTCATTAGTGTTGTCAGCAACTTCGTCAACATCTTCAAACTCATCTTCGGACAGCTTTTGATGGTTATCTTCAAATTCATTCGTCTGCTGCACGTCATCTGTATTGATCTCTTCAACGGCTGGAATAACTTCAGGAATCACCATCTTCGAAGCTACTTCTTCCTCCAGCGATTTCTCTGGTGTCTTGAACGGAAAACTTGTCTCGTCGAATTTCACATCTCGTGCCACGAACATTTTCCTCGTTTTTGGATTCCACAGACGATAACCGGTTGGTGCGTAGCCCAGCATCACACTGCGCAAACCGGTTGGGTCCAACTTGCCCCTCTTTTGTTTCGGAACCCATGCAAATGACTGGCATCCAAACACTCTCAGTTTCCCAACATCTGGTTCTCACCGTGCCAACATTCAGCAGGGGTACAGTCTTGTTTCAACGCTTCAGTTGGACTTCGATTTGTTGTGTATTGAATGCTTCGCCACACATAGATTTCGGTGCTCCGGATTCAGCTAGCATAGTCCTCATTTTTTCCACAATGGTCCGGTTGAACCTCTCTGCTACTCCGTTATGCTGTGGTGTATAACCAACGGTTGATTCAACTTGAATTCCTTGTTTCATATAGTACGCAAGCTGATCATTCGAAAAGTATTCTCTTCCCAGGTCACATCTCAAGCTTGCGATCTTGTTCCCGAACTTTGCCGTTGCCATGGCCTCGTATACTTTGAAGAAATCAAACACTTGGTCCTTCCGTTTCATCAAATATATAACAGCAAAATGAGTATAGTCATCGATAAACGACACGAAGTACTGATACCCATCTACTGTTTTAGGTGTTATCTGGCCGTAAACATCCGTATGAACACGCTCCAATGGTCTTGTTGGGCTCGGTCGACTCTTGTTGAATGGCAACCGGGTCTCGCAAAATCCACCTTCATTTTTAATTTCCCCGATTCCATCTACCATTTCGCTCTGCTTCAGGCGTCGTACATTCTTGAAGCTCAAGTGACCAAACCGTTTGTGCCATAGCTGCAACTCATCACCATCACCTTTCGCAAGGATGGCCGAATCTGATGTATAACGCTGCATCGTCAGGTAGAATAGATTCCCGCGTAGTTCCACCACAGCTATTGTTTCACCGTTTTTGGACAACACTGCTCGATCCGGCTGGAATTCCACTTGGACTCCTGCTTTCAGCAACCGCGACAATGACAGCAAATTGAACTTGACGTTCTTCACAAATAAGACGTTTCCTAAGGACAATGTCAGACTGTTCTCACCCATGAACGTCTTCGCTTTCACTGTGCCTTCTTTAGTAGCAATAAGTTTCTCACCTTGCTTGGCACTTTCAATTACCAGCGGTCTGTCGAACTCCTTGAACTCGTGAAAATACCGCTCATCATTGGCCATGTGACGACTTGCTCCCGAGTCCAATATCCATTCAATGTCCAATTTCGACTTGTAGATCGCTTCCTGGGAAATCATCAACGCCACTTCTCTGTCTGCGGGAACAGTTGCTACTTGAGCTCGATCATACCGCTTTTTGAACTTTGGACATGCAACCTTGTTGTGCCCTTGTTCACCAAACACAACGCATTTTCCTTGAATCTTGGGCTTTTCCTTGCTTCTTTCCGACTTCGCTGCAAACGCTGATCCTGATCCATCCGAGACACCATTGGCACATGAATTGTCTCCTCTTCCCATTCGTTTCTGCTCTTCGGCCAGCAAACGCGCCTTCACTGTGTCCAACTTCAACTGATCATCTCCCAGGTTCTCCATAGCCGTGGTGACAACATCGTACGGCGATGGCAAAGAAATGAACAGTTGACTTACGGCATCTAACTCCGTGACAGTAGCACCAGCTCCCTTCAACTGGCGGACTAACTCGTCAAATTTTCGGAAGTGGTCCTTTAACGGTGTTCCTTCTGCCATCTTCAGCGTTGCTAAGGACCTCCGAATGTATGTTTGCGCTGCAAAACCCTTCTTCGCGAACGTGCTTGCCAGAAAGTTCCACATTTCCTTCCAGATGAGAATCCGCGATGTACGCAACTAGAAGAGCCTTCGCCTTTTCGTCCTTTTCTTGAATAGCTTTCCTCTGCGCTTCGTCAGCTGGTACATCCTTCGTGATCATTTCCTTCACGCCGTGAGCCGACAACTGCGTTTCGACCCGGAGCCTCCACACGTCGTATCCTTCACCAGCAAACTGGACTATTCCTACTTTCGCCGCGCTTGATAGCTTCAGTCCCGTCTTCTCCGTAATTCCGTAAAGAACTTCTGGATTCTTCAAATCAATTAGCTTCAACTTCAGAGGCCGGACGTAACTGGGCCCATAACCTCTAGAGAAAGACGTGTGTTCAGTTGGAAGTCTGGTTTAATACTACATAAAGTTTTCAGTTATTGATAACGGGTAAACAAGTTCTTAACTACAGAAATCAACTGCTCCTTCGATCCAACTCTTCCTTTTTATATTTAGCTTTTATTCGCGAGAAATCGGCAAATGACGCGTTTTGTTTACAAAAGCAATTACGCCCTAATCTCGGAGTTCTCCGGATTTATAAAAGTCATACGGGGCACTGGATAAATTAAATATTTTAAAGGTTAGCTGCTGACTCCTTCATCGATGACTTGTAAGACTTGAAGTATCCAAAACCAGTATCAATGAATGTGTCGTTTTCTGGTCGGAAGTCAACAACTGCACTAGAAACCTGAAAAATTGAGAATTTAGAGGAAGTATAAAGTTAGAAAACTTTTAATATACTTACCAAGAAACTGCTGACATGTGTCACCATTCAAAAAGTTTCGTAGTTGCTGTTTTCAGCTGTCACATATATAAACGTTTCATTTTCACACTGTGCAAAACATTTTTTTCTTGGGTGGGTTATTTTGAATTTTTGTAAATTTTTATTATATTCAAATCTGGGTATCTTTTACTCATAGAACAAAAGTTATCTACTCGAGTATCTACTCAAATTTTGACAACTCCACCCTTGACGCAAGAATAAGTGGAATAGCGTGTATGGAGATTTGAACATTTTTTTTCCAAACATACCTATCGATTTTGGAAGCGAAAACAGAAAAAAAATAGTTGGTTAGGGTGTTTGCGTAAAAAATTGACACAGCATGTGTACCAAATATTTGTTTTCAAAACAACATTTTCCGGTTTTCTGCATGCAAAATAAATCTTTTATGTTCTATCTTCAACTTTTTTTAACTGTTAATTTTATTCCAGATTCACATACAGCATCCGCATGGTGGAAAATCGAGAAACGTTGCTGGAGATCTTGCGAATGGAATCAAAGTCAAAGAAGAATACCTAGAAGATGAAGACGAGATCCTTAGTGAACATCAGACTGCAACGGAATCTGCGGAATGTTATGAAATTCCCAGCGATCGAAACGGGTCCCTTGTGAGTCATGAAGCTGGTGACCAGATATGGAGGTGCTCAATTTGTGGGCTTACCTTTGGGAGGAAGCACAATTTGAAGTATCACAGGGTTCGTTAAAGCATTTCTTGATTAAGAAATTTGCACAATTTAAACGCGTTTTTTTTACAGGTCGTATGCCATACAGATCCACGATATAAATGTTTTGTTTGTCGAAGGCCGTTTCATTTCGCTAGCTTTCTACGTCGTCATGAGAAAATCTGCTTAAAAATGCGATGCAACAAATGTGGTGTCAAGTTTAATACACGTCTTCTGCTAAATAATCATTATATTGATAAGGTATGTACTGAGTGGAGGGTTCAGTTGCCAGTCCTATCGACTATACTTATGGTTTGGGGCTGATCCAGTTCAAAGTTAACTGAAAGCATTGAAAGTTAACTGTTAAACTTATTTAAATTTTATATTACAGCATCCGCATGATGGTAAATCGAAGGACGTTGAAGCATCTTCTAAAGATAGAATGGAATAAAAGTCAAAGTGGAATATTCAGAACTTGAGGGGGAGCGAGCATCTTGTGCGTCATGAAGTCATGGATGTACATTCAAAGGTAGCCAAGAGAAAATTTCATTTAAAGCGCAAAAGGCTTTCATCGGATTGTATAGAACCCCGTAGATCATAGATAATAAGGCTGAAAGATGGAAAATGAACTTGTTTGAAAACACAATCGCCAATAACGGTGTTGGCTTTTGTAAAAAAGAGCTTTTTCCACAATTTTTATTTCAGAATACACTAGACGTTCGATAACTGAAAAATGCTGATCAAATACTGTTCATGAGTCAAACCAGTTGTTCATCCTCGGATTCATCTAAAGCTTTACAGTAAAAGTATGGACGATCGAAACCAAATAACTGAAATACGTTGGTTGGAAATGCTATCTAACATGAAGCTTTAGTGTGATAATTTATTAGCCAGATAAAGGTCTCAAGAGGGTAGGTTGATAGTTCCGCTAGAGTACGGCAGTATGAAAATTGAATAGAAGTTGAAAATGAGCGAAGGGCCAGTACAAAGTCAAACGCACACTTTGCCTAACCCGTAACAAATCTACAGGCTCATATACACATACATATAGGCGAGCGCACATTTTTTTGCCTGTAGATTTGAAGACACTTCAAATCTCTGCGTACATCGTACGGGTTAGGTAAAGTAGTGTGCGTTTGACTTTGTACCGTTCGCTCATTTTCCACTTCAATTCAATTCTCATACTGCCGTACTCTAACGGAACTACCTACCTACCCTCTTCTAAGACTATTCTCTAGCTAATAAATTATCACACTAAAGCTTCATGTTAGATAGCATTTTCAACCAACTCTGAAAAGCGCAAACTTCACGTATGAAGTAACATAAAAACACTTTGAATGAAATTAGTTGTCGATTGGCAAAACTTTTGGCAGACGTCCATACTTTTACTGTTTAGGGCTTTAGATTCATCTGTCTCTTCTTGACATTTTGAAAAGCACAAATTTGACAGATAATTGTTCTTCAACTGAAACTTCTTTCTGTTAGCGGATTTGAAGTTAAAATACATTTCAGTTAAAAGACTTTCAGTAAGCGAACGTCCATTGTATGAAGTTGAGTATAAAACAAATGAAGTAGTTAATAAATTTAATAGTATTAGGTTAAAACATATATTTATAAATCTTTGTTCAGTTTGTATGTATTGTGAAAATCCTTCCAGAAGTACTCACTAAGATCGCTTTGCCGAGATGGGCACCATCGAGCAGCTCGGCATTTAGTTTGCTGAATCGTAGTGAAAAATTTACCGATATTCAGCTAACAAACGGGAATTTTGCCGAGATCTCAGCTAACATACATACATTTTGCTGAATCTCAGCAAGTTTTTCACTGAGATCGAGCAAAAAAAAAAAAAAAATGCCGACCTGCTCGGTGTTGCCAATCTCGACAAACAACCTAAGTGTGCACGTATCAATCCATCAGGACTTAACATTTAAATTTTTTGATGAGAAGTATTGTGAGCCTTAGGTTGCTTTCTCAAATTACAAATGTACACCTTAATCTGTGCCAAGGGTTTTGGCAGTGCCGAAAGCTGTGCCAAGCGTTGTGCCGATCATTCCTAAGGCTGTGAACCATTTGCTGAGGTAGATTTAACTCGTGGTTAAAAGTGACATTTCGATAGTTATTTTCTATGTTCGAAAATCCCCGTGGTGTCGGCTGACCGGTTTTCGAGCCACGGTTGTCAAAATTTAACTTCTTGTCTGTCAGAAATAACCGTGCTCGGATAGCAGGGTTCATCGATAACTTTCCATCTGTCAAATTTTAACCAAAAGTTAAAAAATTCGCCAAATGTTCCAGAGCCTAAGTAGGCCGAAGTGTATCAATAAAGTTGTCAATATCCCATGAGTTTGGCAACCCTGAAGTTAGACTTTTGTGATTGTGTTAACATTTTCAATTTATCTAATTCAAAGAGAAGCGACGGAAGTAGGATGCGAAGTCTGAGCGGTGTATATTCATGGGCTACAGCGAGAACTCGAAAGCGTACAACTGAGAGAACTGAGAGAAACTGATCCTGTTGCACAAGCAACTCCTATCGAAATAGTTGTGCGGAACGAACGAGAGGGTGCGGAGGAACAGGGCGTTGACGAAGGTGATCACGAATCACTAACGGATGATGTTAGAAGAGATCGAAGCAACCTACGATTTCCTATACTTTGTACATAATGCCTTATATACTACTGTAGCTTAGCAACCAACATAGCAACAGTAGTTGTTGATTAGAAATAAATTTTCACTAGTCTTTAGTCACTCGAACAGAGCGGACTTACTTTCTTTTACTCTGCAAAAGGTTATGGGCCCAGAACTGGTCATAGCCGGAAAAAAGAAGTTTCGAGAAGCAGTAAAAACTCCAACTCAAGATACCGAGCGGTTAGCAGATAAACGGTGCCAACGGAAGCGGAACTGGGCAATCGGCCGCTGGAGGCGGAGCCGGAGTGTCAGCTGCTGGACATGGACGGATCAACGCGGTCGCTATGCTGATCATCGAAAAGCTGAAGGGTCGTGAAAATTACACGACGTGGGCGTTCGCCATGAAAATGACGCTCATCCGCGATGGATCCTGGTGCGCTGTGTCGCCGACTGAAGGTCAGCAAGTCGACGATGAGGTTAGTTTGCGGGCGTTGGCCACCATCTGCTTGAGCCTGGAGACGACAAATTACAGTCTGGTCCAGGACGCGAATGATGCCAAGGAAGCGTGGGAGAAGCTGCGGAATGCTTTTCAAGACAACGGTCTGACGCGGAAAATCGGGTTGCTGAGGAAGCTAACGTCGATCCGGTTGGACAAATGCGGTAGCGTGGAATCGTACGTCGATGAATTGATGTCCACGACACACAAACTTGCGGGAATCGGATTCAAGGTCGATGATTCATGGCTCGCTGCGTTGTTGCTAATGGGACTTCCGGAGCATTACGAACCCATGATAATGGGACTTGAGGCATCGGGTACTGCGTTGACGTCTGACGCAGTAAAGGGAAAAATTTTGCAAGACGTGAAGGTGCAAGGGACCCAAGAATGACAGCGCAGACGGTGCACTGTACTCAAACCAAAAATCGAAGCGTCGTGGTGGCAACTGTGGTTGTGCAAAGAAGGACGACACATGCCACAATTGCAAGAAGCGTGGGCATTTTGCAGCGAAATGTCCACAGAAGCAAAATCCTCCAAGGACGTCTGGTAAGGCTTTGTGCAGCGTTTTTGCGATCGGCAATGTAAGCGCCTCGGAGTGGTACTTCGATTCTGGTGCCACATGTCACATGTCCCGGAGTGGCAGCGATTTTGTGGTGCAGCAAGAATTGTCGCGTTCTGTGGGAACGGCAAACAACGACAGCATGAAGTCGGTCGCGAAGGGGTTAGTCAATCTCGAGCTGAGTGAAGGCCTCATCGAAGTTCAAGAAGTGCTGCAGATTCCGGAACTGGCCACTAATCTCCTATCGGTCAGCAAGATGTGTCAAAAAGGATTGACAGTGGTGTTTACTGCAGATAAATGCGAGGTACACGAAAGCGATGGCAACGTGCTCGCATCGAGCACACAGGTAGGCGGCCTGTACATGCTCAACCGAAGGAACGAGGAATCCTTACTTACAACGAGTTTAAGAATCTGGCACAGACGACTAGGGCATCTCAACCTTCAAAGTTTACGAAAGCTGATGGCGATGGCCGACGGCATCGAATTGGCAAACGACGTTATCCCGGAGTGCATCGCCTGTATCGAGGGTAAGCATGCACGTAATCCTTTTCCTTCCAGTGTGTCGCGAGCTGAAGGTCTGCTGGACTTAGTTCAATCGGACCTGGTTGGACCCATCGAGGTTCCATCTCTCGGTGGCAGCCGTTATGTGATGACTTTCATCGACGATGCGAGTCGAAAAGTTTTTCTCTACTTCCTGGAACGAAAAAGTGAAGCATTTGAAGCATACGTGAAGTTCAAGTCTATGGCTAAACGGCAGACCGGCCGAAAGCTGAAGGTTCTGAGGACGGACAATGGGACCGAATACGTCAATGCGCCGTTCAGAAGCAGCTTGGAGAAGGATGGAGTGCGTCACCAGAAGACTTGTCCGTACACACCACAGCAAAACGGTGTAGCGGAACGAATGAACCGGACGCTCATCGAGAAGGCCCGAAGCATGCTGAACGATTCGCGTCTCCCGAAGGAATTTTGGGCCGAGGCGGTGTCAACGGCAGCGTATCTCGTTAACAGGAGTCCAACGAGATCCCTTGAGATGACACCGGAGGAAGCATGGACCGGTAAGAAGCCAGATCTGAGCCATTTGCGTATTTTCGGATCGCTAGTACTGGTCCACGTACCAAAGCACAGAAGGAAGAAGTTCGACGCAAAACCCCAGAAAGCAGTTTTCGTGGGATACGCCGCCGATGTCAAGGGATATCGGGTATACGATCCGGTCAAGCGTGACATCCAGATCAGCCGTGACGTGATTGTGGTTCAGGAAGGCAAACCGCAGGACTTGGTCGAGCTCGTCGAAAGTGTGCAACAGGTGCAGTTCATGGAGCTGTACACGATCGAACAACCAAGCATGGATAACAACGACACCATTGAAGCATCAGATGATACGGACGGTACATCGGGAAGCGACTCAAGCGATGCTGAATACGAAGACGCCGGCAGCGAGGATGTCGAAAACGAGCCTGCGCTCCCGCCGCAATCTGATAGACCAGCTGAAGAGCAGCAAGGGTTTAGGCGCAGCGGCCGGGAGCGCCAATTTCCAGGCAAGTATTCTGATTTCGTTACTTATAGTTCGTTTATTGGTGAAGCTGTTTCCCCCCAGCCGTCACCGATACAATCTGAGATGCCGTCTGATGACCCCGAAAGCTACGAGGAAGCGATCAATGGACTGGACCGCGAGCAGTGGATTGCGGCAATGCGTGAGGAGATCGCCGCTCTGGAAGAAAACGAGACGTGGGAGTTGACGAACCTTCCAAGTGACCGGAAGCCCATTCAAAACAAGTGGATCTTCAAGACGAAGCGAGGACCAACCGGTGCGATCGAGCGGTACAAGGCTCGTCTGGTCGTCAAAGGGTGCTCGCAGCGGCCAGGCATCGATTTCGATGAAGTGTATTCCCCAGTGGTACGATATTCTACCATCCGATACCTTCTGGCGCTGGCAGTGAAGCACGACTTGGATGTAGAGCAGATGGATGCTGTCACCGCGTTCCTTCAAGGGAAACTAACGGATGAAGTCATTTACATGAACCTGCCGGAAGAGTTTGCCGGGAACTCGAAGCAAGTCTGTCTTTTGCGGAAAGCAATATATGGCTTGAAGCAGTCCAGCCGTGTGTGAAACAACCAGCTGGACGAAGCGCTGAAAGAGTTTGGTCTGGAGCGGTCCAAAGTTGATCCATGCCTGTACTTTCGGATCGTCGGTAAAAAAAAATGATTTTCGTCACCATCTATGTCGACGATTTCTTAATCTTCACCAACGATGCCAAGTCAAAGCGGAAGCTGAAGATGTTCCTTCATAACCGTTTCAAAA